ACCTTCATTGTTTTGAAGTTACAAAAACCCCTTAAATTATAACTTCCTTCTTTCAAAAAAAACATACTCTGAATATTACCTGGCAGTTCTTTATTTTTTGCTTTGAATAGAATTTGTGCTGTTTGGAGTTTTACTAGATCGTCAATTTTCAATATTTCAGACTGCAAAAAATGATATTGTTCTACTAAATCCAAGGCAACCATCTACTGATGTGTTTATTCTCTTTAAAACCAAAGCATGCTTCAGGTCAGCTCATCGTGCTGTTAGTCACATCTGGCGGTGTTATTTTTTCATCGTCAGTTGTTGTTTTCTCTAGTTTATGCAAATCTTGCTCTTCCCTTTTCCCGTAGATATTGACATGAAGAAAGACATCGAGAGTCTAATCGCAGAAGAACGAGCTGATATCATCTTGAAGTATGCTACGGTGAGTTTACATTGTCACTTGTGTGTTCTCACATGGTTCATTTTGGGCTTAACAAAAAACACAAAAGGACAAAAATTCAAACGTCTTCTTGTGTTTGCTTTGTGTGCAGCACATTTCTGCATGTGTGGAGGACAACAAGCGTGTATGTGTGTGGGTGGATGTGAGTATGCTGGCAAAGTGCATTAATAACATGTTGTGTAATAATATGTTTATGCCTGTGGTGCGATGTCTCGGAGAACGAAGACCACAGATATTGATTGTGACTGCAGTGAAAACTAACATTAAAAGCAGCCATTAAAAACTCAACGGACATGATTCATTACATGCTTTCCTCTTGATTAGTCTTCAATGGACTGAGAAGAAAGCCATCCACTCTACACATGTAGTACAGGTTATACTACATGTACAGGCTGAGTTTTAGTGATCCCAATACCTCGGCTTTGGGAATTTAATGATCCACCTATTCTTCAGTCTGAGCAAGAAACTGGAAATCATTCTTTTATCCAGGAAGCAAAATCAGGCTTCAGGTCTACAGTAAAAAGTCTTGACCATGGACTTTTATATGAACGACCGGTGTAGCCACCTAAATGTTATCTATCGAGTCGCTGACTAGGGCTGGGCCATATTATACCGTTCACGGTAATACCGGTACAATGTTAGGCAAAGATAAGAAAATGAAATATCACGATAGAATATGGGTACAACACGCATGCGCAGTGGCTTTGTTTTCATACGCACATGGTAGAAAAAGCATGGCAGCGACAGAGAATGAGAAGGGTGAAAGCAGATCGTTGGATGAAACGGATGAACCACAACTGGTTTGTAAAAATGTTGCAACCTCAGTGGTGTGGAACTGGGTTGGTTTTCAGCCGTCAGATATGCAACAAAGCACAATTTTTTGTAGAACATGCAAGCGGACCGTCGTGACGAAGGGAGGAGACGATAAACCTATTTCATCATTTGAAGCAGAAGCGCTTGTTGGAGTACAACAAAGCTGTTAAAGCACGTGAAGAGGCGTCCGCTTCAACTAGCGTGGTGGTGAGACCAAAGAAGCTAACTCAATAGCTGCATGCCTTATGACACAAGTAGCAAACGTTGGGGGGAACTAACTAATAGAGGTGGGAATCACCATACATCCCACGATACGATATTATCACAATACTT